ATAGATATACCCTCGAATTCCTACCCAGTTTTGAGACAAAAATTCAACAAGCAGACAAATTTTTCGGAGAAATTAAAAAATTTCAAATCGTTCTGAAAAAATTATTTTCAGTTGCGGGGATCGATTACAATCATTATTGGTGATTAAATATACCCTCGAAATCCTACGCACTTTCGAGAAAAAAATTCAGGAAGATGGACAAATTTTTCGGCAAAATTATAAAATTTCAAATCGTTCTGAAAAAATTATTTTTAGTTGCGTTGGTCGATTGCAATCATTTTTTATGAATAGACAAACCCTCGAATTCCTACGCGTTTTTGAGAAAAAAAATTCTTTACCAAAAATATACTATGTGGCTTTATTTGTTTTATATTAGAAATTTAAGGATCGAAATAAACTACGCTAGCAGAATCCGCTCGTATCTATTTACAAATTAATCCTATTTATCAAAACCCTGGACGTTTATTGCATCTCTAAACGCAATTATTGAAATGTGTAACGATTCCATCGAGTCTCCCAAGCCCAGTGAAATTGTTTGCTTCGAGGAGTTCAACACACACGTTCTGCGAGATACAAATTGTATACGTCAATGGATAGAAGAGATCACAATTACTGTAGTTCATTTCGAATCATTTATCTCTTTAGTCCGTGGAAACACGCGGATCGATCGTCGGGCTCGGTCTTCCTTTTTAAAGTGATTAATGGCCAATTCCGTGTCCCTTCTGTGCCGGCGACTTATAAATTTCAATGCCGTAGATTCCTCCGCTACGCGTCTCTATTTAGAATTCGCTATTCCGTCACGGATCTCTCAAACGCCCGATCATTGTAGCTAATAAGCGCATTGATCGTCGCAGGCTAATAATTTATGCGATAACGTTGACTTTTTCCCGAGCTCGTTAAACTCGTTCAACTGCTCTGTTCCCTCTGTCATCCTAGATAACTGGCTTGATTAATTTATTTCCACGTGCGATCTTCATTTGATCGTTTACCGCATTCTTCGTTACTTCTACGCTCCTCTACTTTATCGCCTCTGTTACTCATACAATTGCTAACAGACTGACACAATAAATAAGATACATTGTACAGACAATTATGCTTAGTTTAGCTCTGCTTAAAATATTCAATATTACTATTTCAATATTACTATTTCAATACAACGATCAGAAGAAACACCAAAGTCTTGGAATATTTATAAAACACCAAAAGCTTCTGTAGAGCCAGACGTAACGAAATGAAACAAAAATGGCGGTCGCCGGCTAGGCTACGAGGCTCGAGCGATAGCCTAATCGTCCGGTCTGATCCCTGCCACTCACTTATCCACGCCCAGGCCGCTACCTCGAGGATCTTATTAAACTTGTTGAACCATAAGTCCGTAGGAAAGAAACGCGACCGCGTACCAACTACGATCGATCGCTTTCAACAGCCAGCGAAACAAAATCTACCCAGAAAATCGATTTGTCACGATATCGAACGCTTTCGATTCTAAAATCGTACGACTTTGTAGAAAATTGATTTTAATATTAATTTACGAACACCCAAGATGGCGTAAAAGGTACCGATCGTTTCTTCGTTGAAAAGTGTGTGTTTCGGGACCACCGTTGTTCGACTCACCGCTATCGATTATGGTCGTCGGTGATTTCCCCGGCGCGCAACGAATCTTTCTGGGCGGGTTCGATCGTAAAACGTTTCCGATCGCGAGCGTACGGCCGCGTTCGCATGAAAGTGGTCGTCGCCGAGCGAGGGACAACGCCGCGGCAAAAAGAGGGTACGTTCGTGGCGTCATTCGTTTTCGCGGAAACCTCGCGGATACGTCGAATCGTACGACGGGATGAAAAAACTGAAATGCTTACGAATGGCGATTCGTCGGTTACTCGAAGAGAGGCTACACAAATAGAAGTGCCCAGTGACGTCAATCGTTCGCGTTAATTACATAAGAACAGTCCTATTAACCTACGCCGACGGCGTGACGACGATTAAGAGTTAAGCAATTCCGATAAACTTCCCTGGATTATCGATCGTTTGCTATCGCGTGCGATCGGATTTTCAAGGGACTCCTCGACGCAACCGGATCTCCGTAATTCGAACTGACGGTGTAGACGGGACAAATTATATTCCCCTAGAAAACGGAAATTTTAACTTCAGAAAATATAATACGTTTCGTGGCGCGCGAGAACGAGTCCGTTGCACGATTCGAGGGCTAATTCGATCGAGCCGAGGGCGATTACCATCGCCGCGCGACACGCTTTTGTTCGCTTCGCCGCGTGTATCGCACGAGCAGAGAACAACTGATGCAATTGGACAAGTCGGGCTTAACGTCGACTGACCTTGAACCATTTATAAGAATAGAATTTGACGAAGAAAGATCGGCAAACGGTCGCGGCGTCGTTCGCGGCTCGTGATCGATAAATTCGTGCCTCTCGTTGCGAAACATGAGGCTTCCTATGTCGTCCCGTTGGCCGGCCGCCTAACGTATGCTTTCTTTCAGGGCTAGGTCGGCTCGTCGAACTTTTCCCCGCTCGAATATTCGTCGAACGCGGCGCGCGGCAAAAATGGACGCGCGCGACTGGCATTTTAACGCGCGGGAACATCCCTGAGAACGAAGAAATATATTCATTTCCATAACGTTTCTTTAAGAATTTATCGTTTCAATTCATTTAGTTCTATCAAATACACCATTCTGACGGCACCTTCCTGTACTCGCCGCCAGAGGGCCTACGGGCTCTTGTCTCTCTCGCAAGCGTTCGATAGATTTCTTTAAGAATTTGTCTTGTGTAATTTTTGTACACACTAAAACAGATTTAATTGAACAATCATTAGAAAGTCTAAGATTATTCTTGCAACATATTGTAAATTAATTTATTTTGTTACATTCACCAAGTTCACTGTAGTTCCTTGCATATTACATCTGTGTACTAAAGGGTTTAATACCCGTTAATAAAAGAATAAATAAATAAATAAATAATTAACACGATTGTCGCGACGGCGCGGAAAATTGATCTTGAGAGGTGTTTGGTGCCCGGAGAGGCGAGAGCAGGAAAATTTCGCGGAACCGAGAGAGAGACAATCGATGAAACTTATTTCCATGGAATTCGCCGAACAGATGAGGTTTCTCATGACGAGCTCGTGTCCAAGGCGAGCCAAGCACAGCTGCGTCCGTATGCAACTTCGTATGTAACGCACGTAGTCGACGCGCGGGTATTTGCAAAGGAATGTTCAACAGGTGTGTCGTTCGGATTGAGCTTTATACGCGCGAACACGCCTTTTCTTTCGCCCTCTTTCTCCCTCGTGTCTCCGTTTTCCTATCGTCGAATCTTTTGTGCCGATTACGGCGCGAGGAGTGCGTCGACGAGCATCGCGACGCGCCTCGATGGGGACAAACACTCCCGATGGAGCTCTCGAGGACGTTCGAGACTCGTATTTCCGATTTTCGCGTTGCATTCGATCTTAGTATCATGGGGAGGTCGGAAGATGAACAGATTCAGAATTTTATTTAACGTTACGTTGTATAAAATATGGTGGAGGCTATACAAATCGTAATTTATTGCTAAAAATTCATTTACTCGAAGAATATATTTTAGTATGCTATTGTTATCGGTATTTGTTTAACTTTGCTAGGAATTCCCTATGAGATTACTGAGACTGTAAACAATTGAAACATTCGAGTCGTAAATCTGACGTTAATGGCTGAATGTTTTTATTGAAACTCATTATGTCGACAGTTACATTAAAATATGGGTTTTCCTTCATCCAGAATATATATTCGTATTATTATATTAATCGAATTCAACATAAATTGCTAACAAACGATATTTATGAGTTCAGTAAGGTTAAGTTTGAAATCTAGTGTTAACCTAGTAAACCCAGTGTTAAAGATTGCAGGACCCTATAACCAACATCGGTTTTTGGTCCCTGAAAATTGTAATGCAACGAAAACACTATCGGTAAATGTATTTACGGATGTCGAATATCGATATTTGCCGGTATTTTAGGTTATGCTAGGAACGGGTGATTTGAATGAAATTGTGGCGCGCGCATCGCGAGAGCGATGGACGATTTTCAGTACGCGCGTCGATCGTGTAAGAATACGCGTCGTTCGTGGGTAGAAAGAGAGGGACTACTGTTTCTCCAGACCTTGCCCGGCGTTAGTGGCCGGCGTGTCTCTTTTCTCGGTATGCTCGGAATGGTTCTCCGGGCTCGGGAGGTTAAGAGGAAGCCGGCGAGGGGAGAATCACACGATTTATTTACGCGATCCGGCTGGTCAGGCCGCCCGGTTAGACTCGAGAAGTGCAAGACCGTACATTGCTATCTCGCATATGTAGGACAAAGCCTGCTCTGTGGTGGTCGGTGCTTCTATCGCGGTTCTGGTCATCGTTTCGTCGTTACGTTCTAAGCCCCCCCTCTCTCTCTCTCTCTCTCTCTTCACCTCTCGGTGTTTCCATCGTCGTTCGGCCGACGTTCGCCGATCCTATCGACGTTTCGTCGTTACGAAAATAGACGGCGCGAGAGAGAGCAATGGCGACCGTAAACGGAAACGTCGACGTCGCGTACCGATGGTAAAACCTTAAACGTCGAAACCGTGAAAACGTTTACGACGAAGGCAACGGTACCACCCGAAGCAATGGCGGACACGAACGCGGGCAGCGAACGTCCGGTGACAGTGAAACGGGAGCAGGAGCAAAAGCAGAAACAAACGCAACGAACGCAGAAAACAAGAACAAGAGAAATGCAAGCCACCGCTGCCAGCAACGTCGCGATTGGACATTAGCTTCGAACAGTGTAGTGGGGCAAAGCAAGCGTTCCGGCAGGGCAGACAGCTTGGCGTCCTATGGTTCGCATTACGACGAGCTGCGTAGCCTTTCTCCGTCTTTCGCTTCTCTCGTTTCGCTTCACCGCATTGTGCGACTTGCTGCGCGTTTTCGCTCTACGTATGCTGTTGCTCCGTTCCGATAACCGAACACGATTCTCTCCGATTCGTTCCCATCTTTGTCGTCGCCACTCACCCTTCCTTTCTACGCTACCGACCGATTTTCCAACCGTTTTTAACGCCTCGAACGACGGGCGGCCATCTTTTCTCGATCAGGGGTTACGAAAATATCCCTATTCTATCGATGTAAATATCGATCTATTTACTCGACCAAAATTCTTAGTTACGTTATTGAGATAATCCTTAAAATTTTGCGATACAATGGAAAGCCAAAAGTAAGTCTAATGGGTTCCTTCTTTTATCAGCCACTTTTTATCGTTGGAAATTTTCACATTTACAGGTTATCTTCGTGCAGGATACTCTAACGCAACGTATCCTTTTTCTTATACTGTTTAACAGTATAAATTGATATTCTTTGTAAATATATTTTGAGTGTAATATAATTGTACCGTAGAATCTCCATTCAAGATAAATATATGTTTCAGTTTCTAAGAGGAATAAAAACTAGCTGATAAACAAGAATACCAATAGATCTGATTGGTAATGGCGTGAAAGACTGGACTCGTAGGCGAAAAGCAACGATATTATTTATACGGATTTCACAGTGTTCCGCGGATTAAAACGGTCACTCGTAGACGCAAATACGGCGGAGTTAACGAGCTTTCGAGTCTATTTTTGAACCGGGTGAAGGGGGTGCGATTAAAATCAAACACCGAGGACCGAGCGGTTGTTTGAAAAAGCGGGCGTCACGATCTAACGCGATTAATCGCCGCTACGGCTTGGCTCGTAACACGAACCGTTGTAAAACGCCCGCAGTGGTAAATGCATTCCGTTCTCTTTAAATAGTTTCGAGGGAACGCACGGACTCGACGAACGTAGCGGCCGTTGGTCTAAGAAAAGATCGACACGCCGGTGTTTACGGATCCGCGAGACGCGTTTCCAGAATCGCTTTCAGACCGCGGATGTGACGCAACTTTCGCGCACGCTTTCCAACTATCGCGATCGTGGGTAAATACTGCACAGAGTCCGGGTTATTCTTTCGCGTCTTCGCGCGTCTCCTTTCAAACAGGAAGCGCCGTTCGTGCCGACGCTCGAAACACAGGCTGCCTCACCGTTGGCGTCTGGTAGACCACTGGGGATTTCCCCGAAATTCACAGAAATTATTAAGTCTCTAAATTTTATTCGAGCTATAATTAAATAATTAAAATGGTATTTGTTCTGGATATAGTGTATTAGTAATAATTAATTTCTAATGGATCGAAACTATGAATAAGTTTACGCGGGAAAATTTAAAATTCCAGTCGGACACGCGTACGTTTAACGCTTATACTCAATGGCGAGTCTTTGTGACAGCATTTTGAACAATTGCTCTAACAGAATTAATCTGAGGAGGTAGCCTTATCTATATTTACGAAACCATCCTAATCAAACACGGTCCATAACGAGATCCGTTACATCGAGTCTCAGGAATAGTCAAGTGCACAACCGACAGATTCTCAAAGCTGTTCTTCGAGCTCTCAACGGTCTGGACCGCGTTTGATTAGGATGGTATAGTAAATAAAGATAAGACAGCTTCCTGGCAACGTTAATTCCAAAAATCAGGCAAATTTCATGAGACGTTAAATTCGTCAGATACCAAAACAGATCTCCAGAAGCGATTTTTAAGCTTTGAGTGCTGTTTTGGAAAATTCGAACGACGCGGTGAGCTCGAATCGAGGATTTTGGGGGTTGAAGCTTGCGAGAAAACGCACGCGCGAGTTTCTTGAGAGGCGTGTCGCGCCATCAGCTACAGGTGGTTGTTTCGCGTTCCTCCTACTCTTTCTACGACTTCTTCCGTTGCCGTTTCTTATCTTTGCTAATTTCTTTCTCTCGTTCTATTTATCCCCGTACACGATAAGCGCGGCGATTTCTCCGATTTCTTGTAATTAAATCGTAAAATAGATCTCGAGTATATTTGTCCACCCATTGTTAGCGATTCTCGAAACTTCGATTTTGATAGTTGATTCTTTTCGATGCTTGTTGAACTTATTAATTAACGAGCTTCTCGATAGTCGATCAAATTCTATCGCGTTGAATTGGAAATATTGAATAGTTAAGGGGGCGATTGAACGCGATCAACGAATGCAAACGATGGTCAGTGGCGCGATAGCTGGCGCGTTATTCTGAACCTTTGATTTCCGCGAACTGTAAACACAGAAGAGTTCTCGCGGCTGGTAAAGCTGTTCCGTGCAACCGTTATCGCGAGAGGTATAAACGATCTACCGAATTCGAGCACACGTGTCCTGGGACAGCTAGAGAAACTAAGCAGAATTTAAGACAACTCTGCCATTGGTCGAAATTTCGAATCGTCTGAGTCAACGATTAAAAAGATGGAAGCTCGAAACTATAATATTATCCAAACATAGTGTTCGTAGAATATTCCTCATCAGTTCGCACCTAATAACAACGCTCGAAGACCAAGTCGGACCAACAGTAATAATTCATTAACTGGAAAGTCATAAGCCATAAGATTCGAAAATTATATCAACAGGCATATATATCTATACATTTATAAATGTAAGTATCGTTGACTACTGGATAGAATTTATAAATAATTAATTTCAAAGATAAACGAGCCTCTGAATAACGTACAGTTCTTTTTCCAAGATGGCGACGACCACGGATGAAATGGTTAAACAAACGATGCTCGACCATGCTGGAGGATTACGATCTTTTGTCGTTCGAATTTATGGTCTGCTCGGTGGATCTACGATTCTAGGAAAAATACTATTCGATCTTAAAATAGAAGTTCCCTTGGTGAGGCTGTACCGGCGGCCCTTCCGTTCCCCATTCGATTCGATTCGACTCGATTCGAATCGTGTCCGAGCAAAAACGATACATCTGCCCGGCGAGGGAACACTGCTGAATTTCTCTCGTCTCCTCCACCTCTTCGTATGTTGGTCTTTCAAGCATGAGTCAACTCGTGTTTGGCCCTCGCTCGTCGGCCCTGAGTAAAAGATTCTCTGAATGAACTCTAAAGATAGAGATCCCCTGCTTCCACTGCTTCTCCCGAGCTTCTTCCCTCTCTTTCTCGTTAACCTTCTCGACGGCATGGTCGAATTCAACGCTCGTACACGTCCGATTCCGTTTAAACTTTCCGTACCAGACGCCTTTGGATATTCAAAGACCGTCCGCCGCGAACGATCGTCTCGCCTGATATTCGATCGCGCGTTTCGGGAAACTGAACACGGAAACGTGTTCCACCGGCGACGCTGCGACTCACGGAGACGCAGAAATAATCGGGGAGACCGTAAAATGTTTACGTAAACGATAGCAAAAATCGCCAGAGACTAACGTAATTTACCAGGACGCAGCGCGAAGGCAGTACTTTGAAAAAAGTAACTCGAATGTTTCAGTCGACGATAAGACGAACACGGTTTCTGCCATCGTGCGGCGTCTTGTTTTTTTTCTTAGATAAATAGTTACGACCGTAGTATTCGATTATACCGGTGCAACGTTGTAGTAAAAAGTCACTTACCGATCTTTCTCACGAATAACAACGAGTGCCCGCGTTAAACGAGCGAACCGAGAAGGTGTATCTCGCGTAACGATACTCTGAACTGTCCCACTTGCGGAGGTAACGAGCAAACCGTAGAGAAAAGACTTACATTTAACGCTCTTCGCCCCGTCTTTTCGCCTTTCCCCCTTATTAGCCGCCCCGAGGTTCCTTTATCCACCGTTTTTTTTTCGTAAATTTCGCACAGTTTTTCGACGTCTTTCACCGACCAGGCGGTTTCGCCTCTGTGTCGTCTCGTCTTCTTTTCCTGCTTTCGTTCCTTCCTCTCACTGCCCTCCCTCCCGCCCCTTTCTCTCTCAAACTCCCTTCGTTGCTCACTCTCACTCACTCTCTCTCTCTCTTCTCCTACGTTAAATTATTTTTTTTTTTATTTATTTATATTTTGATTCACTTCGTGAACGCGCGAGGAATCGTTCAGAATCGACGCGCACGGTTGTTCGTTTTCACGCTCGCCGGTTCTCCCGTAAATTTCATTTTCACGTCGCTTACGTTTCCTCACTAGAAACACTTCCTTTTTCGATGGAGATTCCTGAAACGTCGCGGAAGGAAACACGCGAGACAAGTACCACCGCGGAACTGTGGTATCGCGATCTCGAGAAAGGCGCGCGCGCGGCAGAATGCCCGCCCGCCTCCTCGACCACCCACCCCCTTACGGCTCCGACACCGTCGCGACCGTCGGGGCCGAACGACGCGAGATATATCGAAGGACAACCGTTCTCCGACGCGATCCGCCGCGCACAGGTGGGCCGTGCGTGACAATCCGAACAACCGATCGGATTGGCCTTTAAACCATGGGCGAGATTCTCCTCTCGCTTTGCCTTTTCACTTCCTTCACGCCGTATCTCTCTTTCTCTATTCACCCAACTACATTAGTTCCTCTATCCACAACCACCGCAAATTAAATCTTTTCAGAACTCCAAATTCTCTTTACCAAAAAATTTATGTTTGTTAAATTATGTTTCTATTTTTTTAAACTTTGGCAAAAATTTCGTATTCATTATCTGTTTACCCAAAACACTCTATTATTTATAGAATATTATATTTCTTCGATAATTGATTATATGGAACCAACAAATTGATCGATAAATATTGAAAAACCTCAGCATCAAATTTTTAAAATTCAGTATCAAAACACTCTATTATTTATAGAATAATATTTATTTGATAATTGATTATATGGACCCAACAAATGGATCGATAAATGTTTAAAAACCTGAGCATCAAATTTTTAAAATTCAGAGTTAAGTATCATCGTCTGGGACCCCTCCAATGTATTTACCCATGTGTTTCTCCATTTTGAACAAAATTTATATCGAGATATAAATTGAAAAATTTTGTACTCCAGCCTGAGATATAGTAAAACAGTTTGATCCATATTGACAAAAAAGTGACTTTCGAGTCACGTTTGATTCTAAAGGGTTAATTTTAGATATATATAGACGATTTCACCGATATATCCGCCTATCTATGTCTTATTTGCCTACCAATCTGCGTATTTGTCCATTTATCTATACATTTCTATTGTATCTACAATCTACCACACTTTCATAATCTCTTCCACATACCTCCGGGCCGCTCTCTCTTTCACACAGTCAATTCACCCTGCCCCCTCTTTATCCCCCGCGAGCGGCGTTTCTAGCCGCGCTTCGAAGCTGGATAGTGGCGGAGAGATGCGCCACTCGTGAATGTTCGGTGCCGCGTCAACTATATAGCGCGGACTGTAGCCGCTCGTAATATGGCCGAGTCGCTGACCAATCAGGATCCCGCGTTCTTGTAAACTCCCCCGGCGTTTTCCGCCACCTCCGCCACCTCCACCTCCCGTATCCACTTCCACCTTCGCTGCCTCTCGGGAACCTCAACAACCTCAACAACCTCCGTCGCCTCCCTCGCCGTTGCAACTTTTCTCGTCCTCAACACTAGAACCACCGGAACCAGTCAAAACGACCCACTCCTAATTTCTAATGAAACCTCTACAAAATTTACTCGACCGAATTCTTGCAAATTTACTATTATTAATAACACTTATAATCAATTTATAATATCCACTTAAAAATTGAATTTTCTCTATTATTAAATAGCTTTTTTAGATCATAGAAAAAAATATAAAATATCGATTAACAATTATTTTATAGATAATAAATATGTTATTTTGAATTTTTGCAAATTTACTATTATTAATAACACTTATAATCAATTTATAATATCCACTTAAAAATTGAATTTTCTCTATTATTAAATAGCTTTCTTAGATCATAGAAAAAAAAATAAAATATCGATTAACAATTATTTTATAGATAATAAATTTGTTATTTATTTCCATTGCATTGTACATTTCTTCACGCACCTGTCGTTTCGATTTTCTTGATACAAATAAACACACTGTAATTGTCGGTGGTTCTAGTGTTAATACTTTTGGGAATCGAACCCATAAATCGTACGAAGATTGGAACACCACTGTGCACATTCCTACCGATAGACCTATTTTATAAACTTTTCCCCCTAGACGAAATTATCGGTAAATCGATCGCTATCGTTCAGAAAAGCTCGTACAAGAATCGAGGTGTTTTTAATGTAGGAAAATTTATCGTGGCCTCTCGAGGTGGGGTACAATTAAGAAATATTCCTCTCCGTTCGCCTCGTGGAACTTTTCGCGAGGAGGATCGTGGACGTGAGAAATACTATAATTGCGTAGCGAGAATTTCTATTGTTCGTCGAGATCCGCGTCTGGTTTTCCCCAAATACTTGGAAACGCTCGTAGGATCGCTGCTCTAAAAACCGTCTGGTATCCATTCGCGTAAACTCGCGTTGCGGTTGCATCAACCAACGACACAGCTGCCTCCATTGCGTCATTGGCCGTCTTATTCCAAGATATACCGAGACTTTTCCTATTTTTCGACAAACCTCGAACGTGAAAGTTCCCGTCCATCGCGACTTTTCTCAAACAGGAGCTACCAAAACAGAGCAGCGAACCGTTTTCTTTATAAAACAACCAAATGTAAATGATGCGGACTTTGGTAAAAAGTAATAATATTAATCACTGTACGGTTATGTGCTTCTATGTATAGAATATATAATATAGAATATAATATAATATAATATAATATAGAATATATAAATAATATATTCTGGCATCTGTTTCGATTAATATTTGGTGGAATTTAATTTAATTAATAACCAAATGTAAATGTTGCAGACTGTGATAAACAGTAACAATAATCACTGTACGATTATGTGCTTCCATGTACAAATAATATATTCTGACATCTATTTTGATTAATATTTGATAGAATTTAATTTCCACCATTTTCAAAGACAAATGCTCTTTCTCTCAGTTGATAAAGAACTAAAAAGCATATAATTTCGTGGACATATATGTACGTGTACACACGTTGGCATAGTTCTAACAGAGAATGATTGGTAACTTCCGAACCGGAAGTACAGAGGGGGGCTGGAACCCCGAAAAGGCACAACTTCGAGCCAAGACCTTTCGAACGACACCTAACTTGTCCACTTTAGGGCAGATGCTCGGGAACATTGCAATAAATATTTTGAAATTATGTCACCCAATTAAACATACCACGAACAAAACAATTTCTCACGACAGAAGAAGTTTGCAGAAGTTTGCAAACTCGAGACACGAGGGATATTTAATTTCGATGCTGTTTTTTTAAACAGCAGTTGAAAATA